CGTTTTCATTTCCCTCGGTGGCTTCGTTTCTCATTTCATTTTCCACAGAGAGCTTCAAGTAATGTTCTTTGCACTAGGCCTAGTAAAATCTCAGTTCATCAACGAACTCATCAAAAAATCTGTTCAACAAGCTCGGCCCGAAACATGTGCTCTTTTAGAAATGTGTGATTCTCACAGTTGGCCTTTGAGCCACTCCCAATACATGTTCTTTTTCACCGTTTACTTCACTCTCTTGACTTGCAAAGGGATTGGTGGGATTTGCAAAGCCATGGCGACCAAGAGCAGTTGATTCAATAGCAACACATTGGGTATGGAACAATTTTGTCATTCTTTTCAGTTTTATGTTCAAGCTCTTTATCTATATGTGGAATTTTCCTTGAATCTTTTAGGCATTCAATTATAATACAGATCAAACATTTTTTCTCTTTTGTACTAATAGTTTACAGATGTTGGGGTTCGAATTCTGAATTCGTTTTTCTCTTTTTCTTCTTCTTCCATGTTTTTTTTAATTTTTTGTTTTGATTTGAGTTTTGGGCTTTAAATAACAGTTATAGAATTGAAATTTCCAAGTAATCTGTTCTTTTTTGAGTGATGATTCAGTGAGTGATTGCTTTTTCTTATCTGTGAGTGATGATTCAGTTTGATTCCGTTTTCTTATCATCACGATAATATAACACTTGAATTGTTATGGAGATGATTGCTTTTTTGATATTTTATTATCCTGTGCGGCAGTCTATTCCAAGAATTTAATCCTCTGCACATGATCTTTATCTATCACTCTTCACATTGGAGCCGTTTTCTGTCAATCAAACAGGTACTACATCCCATTGCTGATTCAATAAACATAAATAACCAAGTGTGGGAAATGTACTTCAGAAATCTTATTCCGAGACTAGTGAAGGAAGGAGATGATGGCAACTGTGGATCTACTGCCGTTTGTGACACCATGTGTTTGCAGGTAAATATTTTACTAGTCTGTAGGTTAGAAACTAGTCAAAGCATATTTAATATGTTTTTTTCCCATTGAAGAGGTCCCGTGCGTTTCCAATTTAGTTATATGCCTTCAACTAAAATGGTGATTTATCGGTAGTAGTAAACCTCGTCAATTCTTATTTCCTCTATCCCTTTTTAAGTACTTTTAGTTTAGATTTAGTACTACAAGATGCCTATTGATGTTGTTTTCCAAACTTTAGCTAGCAAAATCTAAATCAGAACTTGAGTAAATTTTGAAAGAGGTAGTTCATTGTTTTGGTATTCGAATGGGGTTGAGCCGTTCTATATGCTGTTAAATTGTGGTTACCAGGTACTTGGTAATGTTGTTTCTTTCCTTCTTCGGTTTGCTTGAATTTGACAGTTACTCAGTATGCCAATTCACTTGCTGAAAGAGTCTTATTGGTCCATTACAGGCTATATAAGGCACTGATTCATGGGAGTTGGATGGTAACATAATCTCTTAGTAAGATTATGTCCCTTACTGTAGGAAGTTACACCATTTGTATTTTCTAAAGTGTGTACCAAATTTCGGGAAATCGATGATAACTTAGTGATGGTTCGTTTCATTTGATCCACGTATAGAACTGGATTTTGCAACAAGTATATGCATTGTTTTTCTAATGTATGTCCATACTTTGTATTCTAACATATGCAATGTGAACCATGTATGTTACTATTTGGTGACCTTTATTGATCTCACTCAAAATCTCGAAAGAGTGAGCGTTGGTTGTACAAGGTTTTCATTGCAAATTTGTAAAACATCTGTTGATCGTTTCGGGAACTCTCGGATTCTTAAACATATGTGTTACTGCATGCACTTTCAAAGAGAATTCATTCAATTTTTATGTTATTTTCGCTTCATTTTCCTTGAGAGATAACTTGGTGCTTGTTTATCTAACTTGAAGGCTGAAGCCCTTGTTCGAAGCATGTTCGGCTGCAGAATGTATAACCGAAGTGGTAAAAAGAGTCCCGAAGATTGATTTATACAATATGGAAGGGGAAGTTTGGATACGTAGGACAGGTTGAATTCAACAAGTTGAGTCTGCATACCCTTCAAGGCCAAAGAGCATAATTTTCGAGAATTTTTGTCTTAAAATATAAAATTATAGACAATATGATTTTTAGTGTTATATTTTATTAGTTATTTGAATTATGTTTTTGTAATATAAATTCATGAGATAAATAATAATGATAAAGTATGCAGAATTAGTATAAATAAAAAGATAAATAAATAATAAATTATTGTATATAGAATATATAATAAATTATATCTTAGATAACAAAAATAATTTACATATTTTTATTATTATGAATATCTATGAAGAATTTTCACAATGTAAACATTTTTACATAAATTATGTAAAATTTAATATTAATTAAAATATCTTAAATTATAAACATTTTTATTTACATCTTTTTATTATTATGAATATCTTAGTTAAATGTTGATGTAAAATTTTAATATATTTTTACATAAATTATGTAAAATTTAATATTAATTAAAATAAAAATAATACATGATATATTTAAATACTCAAGTAATATATTATCAACAAATAGAATTTTTATATAAATAAATTTTATTTAAATATTTAGCATTTCACTTGTTAAAAAATATAAAACAAAGATAATTTGGTAAAATATACATTTCAATAATCTTTTAATCCTTCAACCAAATACTGTAATCTTACATTTCTGCCAAACCAACCAAACTGTATCATTCCCAGTAATCTCATTCCCTGGTAATATTTTATTCCCACTAATAATCTTACGTTCCGTGAATCAAACGCACCCTTAGTGGAAACACCATTTACCAGAATAGAAATTGACGCAGAAGATATACACTTGAAAATCTAGTCACGCCATTTCTGCCTGAAACCCATTTCCTCCGGAACACGAACCAGGAAATTCCAGACCATCGAGTCATATGCCTTCTAGATTGATTTTGAAGGCGATGCCTTGGTTCTTGGACTTAACCACATAATCAATTGCTTCGTTAGCAATGAATCGACAATCCAGAATCTGACGGTCAAGAATGAAAGTAAATTGAGATTTGTCAATGGTTGAATATGAGACAAACACAGAGTCGATTGGCAAGGACTTTCGAAAAGATTTTATAAACGTCACCTACCAAGCTGATCGGACGATACTCATCAAGTGCTTCAGGGTTTAATATTTTGGGATCAGAGTGATTGATGTCTTCTTCTCATTCCCTTTCATGATAAAAATCATCGAAAAATTTCATGGCGTCACCCTTAATGTAGTGCCAAAATTTCTTGAAGAAACTGATCAGGGGCGCGATTGTTGTCTGAGGAGCTTAAAGCACGCCAAACCTCCTATTCCGAGAACTTACTTTCAAGCATGCACCATTTTGCTACACTGATTTTTAAAAAAAATCAGATTCATTTTCATCACCTCCAGAGCAGTCACTGAATTGTACGAATCACAAAAAAAAATTGCAAACACAATTCTGTTTACAAAAAAGTTGTAAACGCATCCTCAATAACTTTACTATAACTTTACAAAAATGGGAGGGTTCCTATTGTTACTCCACGTGAAAGCACCACCTTGAAGAGGGAGGTCAACAAGCTCCATATCCCGGACGAAATTTCAAGAGTTCAATCATCACAAACCCACTTTTCTCATCAGGATGAAGGAACACATTGTAGTCCCCCCATGCGCTAGGGAATGTCAAAACACCCCAGGAATTCCACAAGATTTGAAAAGAAATAGCTTTTTCCGCATCAACTGAAGGACCATACACATCAACGATTCCACACCTCATATTAGAAACTTCAAGGGTTCCAATTAACACAATAAATCACTTGTTTATATACATGGCGAATCTAGAAATATTTTTCAGGGTAGACACACATATGTTAACAATATAAAATTTTTAAATGAGATGGGCACCATCCGTAAAATAAGTAACTTATCGAAGAAAAACCAGATTTCAGGGTGGACACGAGAAATTTCAAGGTGAACACCATCGGTAAAATAAATAGCTAATCGAAGAAAATTCGGATTTCATGGTGGGCACTGCTTGTATACTTGTTGACCCGTTTGAAGAAATCTTCGTCCCACGTACTAATAATACCACCAGCAGAGTCCAGTGAGGGAGAAAAAACCACTTCGGCGCTACTATGCACCCACAACTTCTGCGAGACTGAAATTTTTAGCTCTTAAAGTTTGTCCTGCAAAAGAACTACTTTAAGTTTATGTTCTTTAATATATCTTCTAACGACTCTGACTTCTTTGTGCTTATTCTAGTTGAATTCTTTTTATTATTAATATATATGTGCCCACGATAAATATTAATTTTAGATTTACCATTGCGTATCATCATTTTTTAATTGTATATACATCCCTCATTGATGATACGTAATATCATCTTGCATAATGGTTTGATACTCAATTACTAAATTTAGGTTTCGTTAATTTATTTTATTAAAATTTATATTTAAATTATACTGTCTCATCAATTTTTTAGTATTATATCACCATTTTTTTAATAGTACCATGGCACCATTTGAAAATTATGTCAAAATAAAATTTAGATGGATATATATATATATATATATATCAATTGTTTAATCATTGAACCAAACAATAAATAATTATTATATTTTTAACCAAACCAATATTTAATAAATTATGATTAAGATTAAAGTCCAAAATTAGACTTATTTTTAAATTTCATTTAAGAACAAGATAAATTAATTATTTACATAAATTTAATATTAAATCATTCTAAAAATTAAATTTATAATATTTATTAAAAATAAAATGCATCACTTTTTTATATAAACTCTCAACTGTGAATTATTTTTCCACTTAAGCAATTTATCCTAAACTTAATTTAATTTTGAGTTAATATAAACTTAGTATAGATTAATTGATATTGTCAAATAGAAACAATACTTGTATTTAATTTCTTATTTTCGACTAGAAATATTATTATATATGACATTTCTTTCTAAACCGTTTTTTTCCTAATGAATGGAATGATAAGTGTAATCAAATCCTCAAATGGGAAAAAAAAATCTACTTATGCTTCACCACCAAGGGACTTCTAACATAGTGATACCCATCGGACCATGTCAACAACCCAAATACGTACCCTTGATCACCTGCAACTTTCCTCTCTGTTTTAAATGCGACTTCAAATTTCAACTCTTCGCCAATCTTCTTAAACGTCAATCTTGAAGGCTTAATCATGACCGTAACTCCGGCTGGCGATCGGACATGGGCTAAATATGTCCCCGGCATACCTACATTCTTGACCTTTCTTCTAATTGTGGCTGAACCCTTGAGTTCAGGGACTGTTATGGAAGGGTAGTTCAAGTCTGTCACACTGTTTGATTTCGGGCAAGAGAACGGCTTGTCTGAGAACAGTTGTATCATGGTCTTGTTGTAGCCTCGAGCACACAGGTAGTTCAAGTAATCTTCTACGTTTAAGTCGTAGACGAGACCGGGATCCATTGCACGGTTCGGTCTCACGTGTCCTGCACCGTAATCGAATGGGGTCGCCTTTCTGTTGTCTGCATCTAGCATTGGATTCAACTTGTTGTCTCTCGTTCTCGCGGTGGTCATGATGGCGGATTTTAAAGCAGCAGGGCTCCAATCAGGGTGGAGAGTCTTGAGAAGGCCAATGATACCGGAAACATGGGGGCACGACATGGAAGTTCCCGACTCTGTGTTGAAGGGTATACGTCGTTTGTCGGATTCTTCTTCGGTTGGTCCCACTGCTTCCGAGTATGCAGCAACGATGCTTACTCCTGGTGCGGTTATATCCGGCTAAAAACCAGCATCAATTACATTAGATTATTTAATCAATGATGTGTGTAAACTTACAGTTATATCATTGCAAATTTACCTTGAGGATTGCTGGATCAATCACATTGGGGCCTCTAGAAGAGAAAGAAGCCATAAATGGTGCAGGCTCCGCGCCCAACTCTGTCTTAACCGGTGTTATATAAGCTGTAGGGTTCCTATCATATGATCAAATAAATAAATAAATAAATAAATAAATAATATATATATATAGATGAATGATTTATTATGGAGGAAAAGCAATAAAAAGTGAAGTAGCTTGAAGAAGTAAGAAAGATACTTGGTTGAATTGATGTAAGCAAGAACTGTGAGACCATCGGTGAAATTCAAGTGAGTGGCCGGAAGCAAATGAGGATCTGCTATGATTTCGTTACCGCTTTTATCGTCGTTCGCGAGAATCAAACCGACCGCGCCTGCATGAAGAGCCTGCATTCCCTTATCAGTTCTTGCGTTTTCTCCGCGAAGACATACTAATATCTTCCCTTTAACCTTCTTGGGATCCAATGATCCTGCTTGACAGAGTATACTGCATGAAAAGAAAACATAATTTGTTAATCAAGTGATATCAGAGATATGCAGAGGTACAAGTCCAGAGTGCAGGACTAAGCTTACGCAACACTAGCCGAGACGTTGGCCGCTTTGGCCTGTTCGGCACTAATCAACGGATAATGAGTCCCCGGTTTCAATGTTGCATGCAAGGCTAACTCCCTGACAAAAGATATACAATAAGAACATGTGGCAAACCATGAAGAGATGTAATTAGTTATTAATGAGAGCACATAATTATCATACCTTGAGACGCAAATTATTTCCTAGCACGGCATAACTCGTAAAATCCCTATCTAGTGTGCTAGCACCAACAGTAAACATCCATGGGGCCAAGTTCTCCGCAGATCCTGGAGTAGGTCCAGAATTTCCGGCCGAAAAAACAACAGATATCCCTTTCTTGACAGCATGAAAGGCACCTATAGAAGTACCGTCTTCGAAAAACTCAGATGCACCGCCACCCAACGACACAGAAAGCACGTCCACACCGTCACTTATAGCAGCATCAAAGGCGGCAACGATGTCTGCCTCGAAACATTCGCTGCCATCAATGGGGGGCCAACACACTTTATATGCAGCAACACGGGCATAAGGTGAACCACCCTTTGCAGTGCCATTGCCATGACCAAAAACACTAGCACCACCAACGAAGTTACCGGCCGCCGTCGATAGAGTATGCGAACCATGGCCATCGTGGTCCCTCACAGTCTTGAAGGTTGCATTGAGTTTTTCGCTGACGGAAGCGAAGTAGCCTTTGTTGAAGTACTTGGCTCCGATCAGCTTCCTGAAAATTTTCACAAAGAATTCATTGAAGAAAGTTATCTTAGCTAACAAGTTTCAACTACGAGAAAATAAGATAAGAAGCCATTGGGCTGCATAAATAAGAGGTTAAAAAGGTGGAAACCAATTTATGAATTTCATAGTTAACTGTCAACATCAGTGGAGTGAGTGGAAAGAATCAGTGAGAAAATTCATAGTAAAAAAAATATACCTTTTTAGCTACTGCTTTTTGTTAAAAAGATATATTTATATTTTTATATCTTTTTCCTCAATTGTTACTTTCATCAATATATTATTGAAAAGGAAAAATCTGGGCCTTCACTTTATCCCTACAACAATCAATGATTAAAATACTTTTATCACTTTATAATTATCATACAAGTCATATTCAAATAAAACATAGATTTTCCTTTTATTAAAAAACCCCTAAAAGCCATGATTTTGCCCACTAAGAATCAAAAACAAATATGTCAACTGTCAATATAAAAAATAAATATGGGTTCAAATATATACGAAAATGTGTTGAGAAAATTTAAAAAAAATAAACATTTAAAAGTAGATTTTGATCATAATAAATAGTGTCAGAGATTAATGAACCCAGATATTTGCTTACTTTAACTTCATTGTCAAGCATGTGGTAGGGAAATGCTAATAAATAAATAAATAAAGCAGGACAAAAAGGAATCACGTGTGAATAAACAAGGGATTACCAAGAATTTGTAAAGTCAATGAGATTCAGAGACCAATTAAAAGAAATAATAAACAAAGACACAAATGAATGCAATGATGATATAAAATTTAAAAGCAAGTAATTATTTATATATATATATAAACTGAATGAATGCGGGATTCACATATGAATTCCACTATCAGTACACACACCCTAAAAAGAAGGGTCACACCACTTTAGAAAAACTTCAAAAAAAAAAGGGGGGCCTTTTTTCCTTTCAAAAGCTTTGCCACATTATTGAGGTTTAAATTGCATATATGAACATTGCTTTGAATAAATATATATTCCCTTAAAAAACACAACTATTTTCCCCAATTTAGCAATGAAATTGCAATTTGCAGTAAAGCTTTCAGTAATGAAGAATCAATATATTCTTAATCATATAGGTTGGTTTGAGGAAGTGATATTAACCTGTTACAATGAACAGGAACATCGGCACCACGCTGACAGGACCCTCGCCAACGAGCCGGGACCGGTCCCATTCCGTCATCACTAAAGCTCTTAGATTCAGGCCAGACACCTATACATCAGATACAACATTACAGGGGAAAGATGGAATTACATTTTAGCCGAAATTTGTCAAAACATGGTAGCCATTAACAAGCAAACAATGGCACACATGATATAAGATAAAAAAGCATGTATAGTATAGTCAAATATCATTTGCTGTTGACCCTACCACTGTCATATTGATATAATGATCAAAACAAATGATCGAATTTATCTGCAGATTAACACCAAAAGGGGTTTTTTTTTGTCATTCAAACTAATCAATCTGCATTTTGCTTAATGATCAGTTGAAACTGTTTTGTTAATGATTAAGTCAAGACAATATCATAGTCAACTTGCAAGTGGCATATTTGATGAAATGATTCATTTTTAAACGTGTAAACATCAAATCAAAAGCCAAACTTCCATGCAAAATATGAATGCAATGGATTAACAAAATTGTCTCGAGAAAAACGGGAGAAAAAAAGATTCAAACTTTACCAGTATCAAGGTTTCCAATGATTGTATCTTCACCAAATCTTGCCTTCATCCAGAGAGAATCCAAAGGGACAATTCCATTTCTCTCCAATCTGAGAAAATCCCATGATCTTGTAGTGTGAAGCTTTCTTCCTTTGTTTAAAAATACCGAAACCACATTCGGGTGCTCTACATTGACAAATGATGAACATTGAGATATTATGAAAAAGAAAACAGAGCAAACAAAATTGAGGAACTTAAAAAAAAAACTCTTACTTGCAATCTGTGATGTTTCTTCTTCATTAAGGATGGCAGCAAAACCATTGATGTTCTTAGTATAGGAGTAGAAAATTCTCTCTTTAGCAGTTCCAGTACTGTGGAAGTAAATTGAAAGAAATGCTTTAAAAGGGGAGGAAATGAGAACATTTTCATATAATACCTTCCCACAAATGAACAAATGAACCCAGCAATTCATAATGAGAATTCGTGACTTCATCAAGTTCAGCCGATGTGGGATTCGGACCATGAGCATGTCCTCCTAAGTACACTATGTAAGACTGCAAAACAGCACAAAAAGATCGAAACAAGTAGGTACATTTTGAGAATATAAAGATTGAATCTTGAAAACAAAAACAAAGCCAGAAATAAGAATCAAATGAAAGGAAACAAAAAACTAATAATTGAACAAGCTTTACTCGCCTTTCTCAAAGCAGAAGTTGGAGTCTGCAAAAGAGCAAAAAGGAAGAGCGTTAGCAGCGAAGGAGAAAGCATTGAAGAAAGGCCCATTGCTTTGTTTGCTTTATAAAACCCGTTTCAGTCACTGATTCTTCTTTGTGAAAGAGAGAGTGTGAAGAAACTCTGCTCCCCCCCTGTTTTTAAACTCTGTTTTTGTAGCTTTTCTTTTGGAAACAAATTCTCCTCTTCCCTTTGCTAACGGATAGCTATGGAATTCCCCCATTTTTGCAAAGCAACTTTTTAGGAATGGATTGATTTATGAATTTATCCTTTAAGATTACGTTATATTTTGGGATTATTTTGTATTTATTTGTAACAGGTATGATATGGCTGTAAATTTATTATTGCCTTTTTTGTTGTTGTGAATAATGTCAAAATTAGTGGCCCCAATTCGGCAATTTAATGGGAAAACCTTTCCTTATTTTAATTAAAATTCAAATTAGTGGTTGAGTTAAGTAATTTAAATATATGTGCACAACGGGAGGGAATGAGTTCTGAAAAATATGATTAGAGAATTAAATTTAGTAATGCATTTGTTTTTATGTATGTAAAGTTTCTTGATGAAAATCCAAATTAGTAGGCAATGTGTTTTGAACTATGTATAAAATATATTAATTAATAATTCATCAAATTTCAAATAATTTAATATTTTATTCGTGTTCCATTCAACTCTTTTCTTTTTCGTATTTGTTGATTGGTGACAACACTAACTTTAATGTTAGTTGTCTACCGTTGTATTCTTTATTTTCTATTTCTTTTCTATATTGTATCTTTATTTTATTTTGTTTTTTATTTTCAATAAGTCTTATAGTGTTGCACGTTTTCATCTGCTTTTATGGCACGTTTTTTTTTCATGTTTTTCGGTTATTTGGCTATTTTTTATTTATATTTTTTTCTAAGGGTTGATTTGGCATTGCCACGACTGATTAAGATGGTGCTTATCTGATGTCTTGTGATCTTCCTTGCTTTGGACCCTAGGATTGAATTTGAATACCCAATTTGCGTTCGTGGATAGCTTTTCACGCTACTCGAGTATGATTTGCAGTTTGTCGGTGGTCTTTCAATAGCTCGATCCCCTTTCATGGTTCGTTTGCCGATACGGCCAGATCTGTTTGTATCTATCATTGTTCGAGTTTCTTGGTTAGGTTTAATCTTTTCTTGAATAGTCCTTATGTGATCTTAAGTTACTAGTTTTGTATGATTATATGAAATTTTCCTAATTATGTGTTTAATTTACGATTGTGATTATAGATCTTTATTGTAATTTGAGATATTTCATATTTTGAATAAAATTAGTTGTTTCTATAAAAAAAATTAATATTTTAGTCTTGTTTGATATTTAAATTTTAAATTATCTGTTAAATTTTTTAATAAAAAATATGAAAACTATCAAGTAGATAATGACTTTCTTATCACTAATGATTCCTTTTTTATTAACTAATGAATTTTAAATACTTTTGTTTTTATTTCTTTTAATCATATTATCCTTTAACATTTATTTTTATCAAGTAATTTAATTATATCAATTATTTAATTTTAAATAGAATACTAAATTATTATATAATTTAAATGTAAAACTTAATTTATTTTTATTTAATTTTAATACTTAATTTTTTAATTTATAAAATAATAAATTTTTTGAAAGTTATCAAATAATAATTAAATTACATAAAATCCACTTTATAATAATAATAAAAAATAAATAAATCAAAATCTTTTTATTAAAAACACACAGATTCCTATAGAAAGTATTCACACCACAACCGTTTTTTACATTTTCATTTAAACTTTTTTAAATATATTTTAATAATTTGATGAAGATAATCTGAATAAATTCTTTGAAGATGGCATACATATCTGCAAATTTGATAGAGATAATTAGTGCATCATCAATAGCACCATGATTTTATAAGAGTCCTACGAGTTTTCTTTTTTCATTATTAATAAAATTTAGAATAAACTACGTAATTAATCATCCAATTATAACTTTAGTTTCAGTTTAATCATTTAATTATTTTTTTAAATTATCTAACGTTACGTTTTGGTTATGCTATTAAAAAATAAACGAACAATTGATGTGATATTATCTTATGGTGACACATCAACATCACCTTTAATCTTTTAACAACGAGTGATCAAAACGAAACCAAAACATAACTTTAGGTATAATTTTAACAAAAATAGTAGTTAGGTGACCGAAATAGAACAAAGTGATAATTGGGTGACTGAGTATATGATTTACCTAAAAGTTTATCATAAAAGAAAAATAAATAAATAAAAATTCTAAAAGGTATGTTTTGTTGGGTTTGGCACTATAAATAAAGGAAGAAGGCTAAAAAGTGTTTGCATCAGTGTTTTATATTTCTAAAAAGTGTTCGCATCATGGAAATAAATGAAGTTACATGTGAAATATTGAATCTTTCTTATTTGCCTAAAAAGTTTACATTTTGTTTTTCTTAAATAGTTTGGGTTTTACATATTGTTCTTTATATTTAATTATTTTTTGATTAATATGATTAATCGCTTCTTGAATTTGGTATATATGTATGTGTGTGTAAGCCTTTTACAATAAAGAGTGCTTTTTTTTTTAGTGTGAGAAGGGTGGGAGATGATGGAATTTTATGTTATAACCTATAATATAAGAAAAAAAAGATAAAATAATGTCATTATAAAAAATGGGTAAATTGCGCGTTTAGTACTTAAATTATCAGTTTTAGTACCTAAACTTTCATTTTTTTCAAAATCATACGTAATGTTTAGTTTATGATTCATTTTAGTATCTCGCCGTTAAAAACTTGATAGAACTTTTGCATGTGACATTTTTATGGCATCATTCATCCCTTAACTATCTTTATACTCCTATTTTGGTCATTGAAATTTAATTTTTTTTAATTTGTTACTTGCCTTTCAAATTACTCCTAATCTAATCATTCTAACTTTCAAATTTAATTTTTTATTTTAATTATATTAATAAAACAATAAAAAAATATCACATCACAAAATATTATTAATAAAATAAAATAGAGTGATTCAAACATGAGCAATTTGAAAGTTGAGAATTTATATTGAAAATTTTTAAATTTAACGATCAAAATAGGAGTGAGAATATAATTAAGGGATGAATGATGTAATTTACCCATAAAATGTCACGTGCAAAAGTTCCGTTAAATTTTTAACGGCAGGGTACTAAAATGAAACAAAAACTAAACATGAGGTATAATTTTAAAAAAATTGAAAGTTTAGGTACTAATATGAACTAAAACTGATAGTTTATGTACTAAATATGTAGTTTACCCTAAAAATTTAGAAGAAAACAATCAAGTAATGCGACATGTTACTCGTATTTATTATTTAATTATTTTTTGAGATTTATAAAATTTGGGTTTACGTTAGATTTAATAAATTGATTTTTAGGACTAAACTGCACGTTTTTGGGCTAAGTTTGAATATGTAAAGAGTTTAGGGACTAGCCCTATAAATATTCTATTTTTCTAATCAGTTGAAAAATAAAAATAGGGATTTGAGGTGGCTGATGGGATTGAACCTGTGACCTTAAGGACATGGGTACCCATGCCTTAGCCACTATAATTGGCTACTATATAAGTATATTTTTATAAATATGTTTTATTATAGTTTGGTTTTGGGTTAGAACCCAAAACAAAGCAAAAGAGCCCCAATTGAATAACCCAAAGCAACCCTCATCCTCAAGTCATCGACCACCGATTCTCCCTCTCCGGTCATCGTTGTAGTGTTCCGACCCAACCAGTCAAACTAGCATCCTCCAGCGACCCCAATTCGGTCGTCGATCATCGTAATCGAGGAAGGAAACCCCATTTCGACACCACCATATTTTTTACTCGATTCGACCGCTCCAGCTGTCGGTGAGCCTTACGCTGGCTACCGTTACACTCCCTAGGCGATTCCAATAAGAACCCGACTGAGACCGTTGCCCAGTGTTGCGCTGTTGTAGTCCGTCGTTGGGAGTAAGCTTCATACGTTTTCTGGTTAATTTTTACTATGGTTTTGGCTTGATTTGATGATGAATTGGAACGTTTAGTGTGTTTGGTCTCTCGTAGAGTAATCGGTAGTCGCTCCAGACCTCGTCGTCGTTGCCACACGCCACCACGCGTCGTCGTCGTGCGCTTGGGGATCTCCCACGTCCAAAAAGCCTTCTAGACCAGTCCAGCCCAGCCTGAACTGGGTATGTTTGACCCAAACTGAGTTAACACGACCTGACTCATTGACTTTGACCCGACCCATTGACTTTGACTTTAACCAAAAAGTCAAATTTTCTAAAAAATCATATTTTATGTTTTTCGACGTACTGAGTTCGAATCCAAAGTTCGTTTTGCCAAATTCAAACTTGAAAACCTCCAAATTGACCCGTAAACCCGAACGTGCATATGTAAATTAAGTATTTATTTCAGTGCATCAAATTTTACTGAAGGCTCAAGGACTAATTATTGTTATCAAATATTTAAGGTACTAGTGGATCCCCTGACTATTCCCCTGCTTGACCCGATTCCTCCCAATCTGTCTGTCAGCTCCAGCCCATGATTACTCGTACAGTTCTGTGACCTTGTTAAATATTCAGTTTAGATTATTACTCCGATTATAACACTGTTCTGTAATAACTTAGGTTCTCGTTCAGTCGAAGAGCCTAATGAAGCTGGTGTTCGATAGATCTCTCGGACTGATACTTTTTGTGAGGCGTGTTCCTTGCGTGCCACTCATATGTTTTAAATATCTGTTTGAAATACTATGTGCACATTATTGTTTTATCTGATTTGCAATATATCTATCTGTTTGACTTGATTCCGTATGATTTATCTAATTTAAAGTCTGATTTTTGATTTACTAAAGTAACTCTGATTGTCTGATTCATATTCTCTGATTATTATTTTTACTGATAAATAAATATGTCTAAACTATGATTTCCTACTACCACTGATTACTGTCTGAATATTTTTCTCAGGGGTACTCTAGGATTTAATATGAAGTCCCTGCAGATTCAGCTCGGTCAAACTAGTAATTCCTTATATATGTTCAGACCAATCGAGCTGGTAATTCCTTATGGGC